CATCTCTCCAGCACTCCCCTCCTGTAGTTTTTATTTTTCTCCTTATCAATTTGTTTTTAGGTGACTGCATCTGAGTGCACAAGAGCGTGTCAGATCTCCTGGAGCGGGAGTATCGGGTACTTTTGAGACACCTCATGTGGGTGCTTGCAGTTGGACTCAGGTTCTCTGGAAGAGCTGTCCCTGCTCTTAGCCTGTGAGCTGTCTCTCCAGCTTTCCTTTTCAAGGCAGAATAATACTCCATTCTGTACCTGCGACGACATTCGTGTATGCCTTCACTCACTGAACTTTGATTGTAATAAAAAACCTAACAAAATATTATAAATAGTCCAAAAAAAAAAAAAAAAAAAACCTCAGGTGGGCAGTGGCAGTGGCCTGTAATCCCAACACCCCAACACTTGGGAGGCAGATCTTTGAGTTCAAGACCAGCCTGGTCTACATATCGAGTTCTGGGTCAGCCACAGCTACAGAACAAAATCCTGTCTCAAAAGGCGAGAAAGAAGAAAAAATAGGAGGAGGGGGAGGAGGAGGAAGTAACAGCTTGGGTCTGCGGCACGCCCCTTTGAAGCTAAGTAGGTGTGCAACTGACAGAACAGTGCTGGAGACAGACAGACAGACAGTGGCCAACAAAGTGCCATTGGTTGAAATCACAGGAGGAAAAGGTTCCAAGTGAAGATTATGAGGATCTCAGAGTTAAAGTCAGATGCAGGTGAGTCTGCGTGGAACCCGGAGATCCCGTGTCCCACTAGGATACACACAGGGTTCGATCACAGTGGTACCAAAGCCACAGAAGACAGCTTCTAGGACAAGAGGACACGGAACAGGCTGGGACAAGACAGGCTGAGACACTTGAGGACCTGTTTCTTTTTATCTATTATTGTTTTGTCTATCATCATCATCATCATCATTGGTGTGTGTGTGTGTGTGTGTGTGTGTGTGTGTGTGTCTAGGCACATGCCATGACCCAAGTATGGCATCAGAGTTACTTCTCTCCTTCCCCTGTGTGGGTCACAGGGTGTGAACTCAGTCAGGTTGTGGGACTTGGCAGCAGGCACCTCTGCTTGCTGAGCATCTGAGGGGCCCTGTGGGCATGTTTATAAGCTGAGGTCAGCACACCACAGGAAGAAGGGTTGGCTGCTAAAGCAAGGCCTGAAGAGCAGGAGGACAAGCAGGGAGGCTGGATTTCAGAGCCTGGGGATCAGAGGCGTGAGCAGGGGCAGGTGGAAAGACAATTCTTTTTTGTTGGTGGTTGGTTGGTTTTCCTGGAATTCACTCTGTAGACCAGGCTGGCCTCAAACTCACAGATCCACCTGCCTCTGCCTCCTGGGTGCTGAGGGGTTAAAGGTGTGCGCCACCACTGCCCAGCAGGAAGAATTCACCCTCTGTCAAGTAAACAATCTAGGAAGACAAAGATGGCGCACCTGGCCCACCATTCAGTGCTCTGCCCCCCACCCCACCCCTACAGAGCTCCTCCACCTTGTGGCAAGCCTCTTTTCCACTCCGCCACATCCCTGTGCGCTTGCAGGATAAAAGTGACACACAGCATAGAGCCAGGGCTGCTTAACTAGTCAGGATGACACTGTGTGACCCAGGAGTCTTCTTGATTCAAGTGTTGAAACTTTGCCAAGCAAGCCTACACAGATGAGAGAGGACGTCTCAGAGCCTCCCAGCTGACAGGAGCTAGGACATGCAAGTTAAAACTGTTCTGTGCTTTTGTTTTGGAGGCAGGAGCTAGGACATGCAAGTTAAAACTGTTCTGTGCTTTTGTTTTGGAGACGGGTCTCATTGTGTAGCCTTGGCTGCCCTGGAAATTTACTCTGTAGACCAGGCTGGAAATCAGCGTTCTACCTGCCTCCTAGTGCTGAGATCAAAGGCATGTGCCACCACTCCAGGATTTTTGGTCTTTGCTTGTGTTTTGATGCAGGGTGTCGTATTTTCATTTCTTTGTTATGAAGGGCCCTGACAAAAGCAACTTCAAGGAAAAAAAGTGTTTATTCACCTTGCTTCTAACCCCAGGTTATAGGCCATTACTGCATCCAGGGACATCCAGGAACCGGACACACTAGTTATAGCCACGAAGGAGGGCATCTAGTCTCATCAAGACTAGAGCCCTTGCCTTGAGAAACAAGAAAAAGCAAAAGAAAAGGCAAACCAACCTGATTCAGACAGTCTCCCCAGAGACTCTTCCCACAGGCCCAGAAGCCAGCACAAACTGGGCGTGGTCTGCACATCTTTAATCCTAGCACTCAGGAGGCAGAGGCAGGTAGATCTCTGTGAGTTCGAAGCCAGCTTAGTCTACAGAGAAAGTTCCAGGACAGCCACAACTATTACACAGAGAAACCCTGTCTCAAAAACAAACAAACAAAAACAAACAAAAAAAAAAAACCTTACCATCAAGAAGAGTCTCGTATAACCCAGGCTGGTTCCAGGATGACCCTGAATTCTAATCCTCTTGCCTTCACTGGCCAAAAGCACAGGCGTATGTGATGCTGGGCACTGGACTAGGCAAGGCTTCCTGAATGCTAGGCAAGCACACTTCCAACTGAGCTGCATCTCTCCAGCCCCGAAGATCTTGCTTGATGGTCTTTCTTTTCCCTTAGAATGGCAGAGACCAGAGAAGGCTTGATGTGGTGTTCTAGTCACCTGAAAGCAGAAGAGGAGATGAGGCCAAGCAAGGGTTAGGTAGGCAATGGTTGGCAAGGACGGTCAGCTGAAGCTGTGTTCTTGGTACTATTGCTTTGGGATGAGTGGGCAACATGGGGGAAGGCAACATTGCGGGGCAGGTCCAGGATGAATCCATTTGGGCAGAAAGGCAAGGCCACAAGTGGATTCCAGCTACTGATGAGGCAGTACCTCAGGCTGTGACCCACAGAGCCAGGCTCAATAAGAAAACAAGCTCCTGAGAAACTGGGAGAGGCTAGAGGGCTTAAGAGACTCTGGGGTGGACAGGACACTCTGGTCTGGGAAGCGATGCCATGGAACACTGAAAATGGTAGACATGTTCGTTAACACAGATGGGCATCAACTCCCACAGAGGAGGAGAGCATCCGCAGGAAGGGAGTAACTGTGCCACTGTGGGTGGAGAGTCGAAAACTACATAGTTACCAAATCTCTTCCCTCCCTGAAGCAGGTGCTAATTCAAAGAGGGGGATTAAGAGGTGCAGAGAGGGGAGCAAGTTCTCCTTAACCACAGAGGTCACAATGGGTGTAACAGGAACAGAGGCTTGACAAGGGGAGAGAACCAAGTCTGAAATGAGAAACTTGAAATCAAGGGCAGCAAGCAAAATGGCTCAGCAGATAAAGGTGCTTGCCTCCAAGCCAAATGACTGGAGTTCCATTTCTGGGACAGACATGGAGGAGAGAGAGGATTGACCTTCCACAAACTGCCCTCTGTAAGTATTACAGCTGCTCAAATGAGATGGGCAGGGACTCTGGCAGTCGGGAGCCCACAGAATACTGAGTGTTACAGCTCAGATGGGAAGGGATTCTAGCACTCAGGAGCCAAGGAATACAGGTCACTGTAAACTTAGCAGCTCACACTCTGCTTCAGGGAAAGAAAGGCTTCCCAGTGTATCAGCTCTGCTCCGGCAAGGGAGGGCTTTCCAGTGAAGTTGCTACAGTGCTGCTCAGGTCCCTGGAGTGTTATGAGTAAGGTTTTCCCCTACCAGCCTGGGCCCACTACTGTGCCAGCCCCAAATAACACACAGAGACAGTGTTAGATATAATTCTGTTGGCCAGTTACTAGTTTATTATCGGCTAGCTCTGCCTTAATTATTAACCCATTTCTATTAATCTAAGTACTTCCAGGTGGTCTTATCTTACCAGAGAGAGAGGCTGGCGTTCTACCCTGTAGTCCTCCATCTTGGAGTGTAACAACTCCACTCACTAGGGGAAGGGGAAGGTTTCCCCACTAAAAGTGTTACAGCTCCCAGTTCTGTTCTACTGGGCGCTGGCAAAAAAAAAAAAAAAAAAAAAAAAAAAAAAACACAAAAAAACTGACAGCCGGGCAGCCAGACGAGCACAAGCAGAAGCAGAATAGGCACAGGGTTACATAGGGCTTCTTAGGGGCAGAGTTTTTCCAGGGAGATTTCCAGGGTGGGGATTGGTCAGATTTCAGTCCCTGAGCTCAGACTGGCTAGACCTCCTACTCAGGGGTTGGTTGGTGTTCTGTGCAGGTTCAGGGTCAGATTTGGCTCTGGTTTCAGGGCCAAAGTGAGTTTCTTTCACGGGTCCTTTTTAGCCTTTTGGCTCTAATTTTAGGACCAGGGCGCATTTCTTTCGCTGGCTCTGACTCTAGGGACAAAGTATGTTTCTTTGGCTCTGCTCAGAGTGTGGTTCTTTGGCTGTCCCTTTCTCCCTACACTGCTTAGATGATGCCCTCCATCTCAATGGGTAGTCACCAAATAAAGGAATGATAACCCAAGCTCCACAGTGGTCCCCACCGAGGCAGGCTACCTGCCTGAACTCTTTGCCTCCAATCCCAAATCTGGGCTAAGGGGTTTCGTTCTATCCTTTGGTGAAAGCCTCTCTGTGCTCTTATGCGAACACACAAGGTACCAGGGCCTAAACCATCAAGCCTCACAGTCCTAGCGAGAGCAGCCAACCAGGTTTCACAGCTGCCACCCACCGTCTTCTTAAGTCCATAAAACTCAGATGAGTCCCGAATAGCACAGTGCTAAGCCAGCACAGCAAACTGCACCGCACATGCTGGCCCTGGGTGGTGCGCACCATACATCCCTGCCCAACTCTGGGCTATGTGCGTCTGGGTTGTGGCTCTGGCGGGAGAGCCGCGTCCGTGGAGACTGCCGTCGAAGTCCCGGGTGGAGGGGGGGGGGCGCCCGGATTGGCGGTCGGTGGGGGTGGGGGTGGGGTGGCGGTCCTAGAGACAGCACGCTAAGTTTCTGGAGTTGTGGCGACCTCCGGCCTGGCGAGGTCACAGGGGGAGCTGCAGGACCCGGAGGCGCCTCCGCGGCCCGCGGTGGGCTGGGCGGGGCAGAGCAGGGCTACCGCCTCCGCGCGTCCCTCCAGGTCCTGCCACTCCGCCCGCCCCGGAGCTCAGGGCGCAGGGGTGGCAGACGGGGCGCACCCCGGCCGGGTTCGCATGGACCTCCCGCGCCGCTGGCTCTTCCGGATGTTCCTGCTCGTCGCCGCCTGCTCGGGGATCCTCTTCAGGCTGTACTCGGTGGGGCAGCGGTCCCAGGAGCCCGGGGCCCCGGCCAGGTAAGCGCTGCGGGGCACTGAGCCCAGGGCGCGGACAGAGGGCGCGCTCCCAGCTCCGCCGGCGCCCGCGGACACCCCGGGCTGGCTCGCAGAGGGGACACGCCTTTTGCCGCCTTAATCTCGTGCTGCCACCTGGACCCGCCGCCTCTGCCCGCCCCGAACGCACTGGAGACCCTGGCGTCTTTGGTTAATTTCAGCCAGCCCTAATTAAAAGCCCCCTGCTGTCACTTTCTTCCTGGATCCACTTTTAAGGTTGAGACCCAATTCCCTCTTTCCCAACTTTATCCAGCGCTTCAGGTAGGAGGTAGCCGGGCTCCGAGCTGAGACCCGCCTGCACCTGGCTCCCTTTTATTTGCTCAAGTGTTAGCTTTGATAAGCGCGGTCTGCACATGGCCCTGTATACAGACGAGCTGCACCTGCAACAACATAAAGGCCCATTCTGGACCCTTCCGAGCGTACCGCCCTGTTCCTCCTGCTTTACAGAAACCTGAAGAAACCTCAAGGGGGTTAGCTTTATTTCTGGGAGGTACAGCAAGACATACCTAGAGTGTGGGCTTGGGACAGGAAGAACCTCAGCTACCGGCCTGCCTGTCTCTCCCTAGTCCTTTTGCTTCCGCACAGGTCTCAGAAAAGTTTGCCGAGGTGAAAACAAAATGAGCAGTGTTTGGCTAAAGGACACAGAAATAACATGAACATTACTTGCAAACAGTTGAGCCTAGTCCCCTGCTGACAATACCGCAGCTGGCAACATCCTACACAGGGCCTAACTCCACAGGCGACATCACTCGGTGGGTTAGTTACATCTTGATTACACCTCAACGAAGCTTTCCCTTTTTGAAAAATACTTCTATTACTTCTTTTATTTTTGAGATTATAGTTACATTATTTTCCCCCTTCCCTTTTCTCCCTCTACCCTCTACTTTGCCTTTTTTTTTTTTTTTTTTTTTTTTTTGGAAATGCCTGGCCTCTTTTTTCATTAATTGCTGCTTGTGTGCATGTATGTGGACATACATGCATACATCCTGCACAGTCTGTATGGCTGTTCCTTGTATGTCCGTTTTCAGGGCTGACCACTTGGTACCAGATGGATGACCAGTCGGTGTAGAAGGTTGCTTCTCCAGCTCTGGCATTCCCTAGTTGACCATAGTTCTTTGGATAGGTTGAGGCCACCATCGAAGCCTCTCCCCTGTGCACTCTGGCAAAACCTTTTTCTACTTGAAGAGGTCTTTCTTCCTCACAAAATCTGACACAGGGGCTGGAGACTTAGCTCACTTGGTAGAGTACTTGCCTCCCATGCATGAAGCCTTGGAATTCCGTCCCCAAGACCAGAACAACATCAAAAACAAACCTGACAAAACCAGCACCTGCCCTTTTTCTTGTCTGTGTTAATGCTTGCTGTAGCACAGTCTGACTGTGGGGGAGGAGGGGGCAGGTTAGGACTCAGCCTGGCCGTAGGAAGTCGGTAGGCAGGGCAGGGGGACAGATGGCTTCCAGGGTATGGCTGGGAGCTAAGCACCCTTCCTGTGAAAAGGGCCAAGAGACAGTCCAGACAGAAGAGTGGCTGGGCCTCAGGAGGGCTCCTTTGCTACTTAGTGGGGGGGGGGTGTCTCAGCCTTCAGAGCACAGGAGGGCTCTTAATGCGCCTTAGGGGGTCTCATCACCCACCCACAGTCTGGTTCCAGAGGAGTCTCCTCTCTGGGGACTTCTTTTTGTTTTGTTTTTGCAAACCAGGGTTTCTGTGTAACAGCCCTGGCTGTCCTGGAACTTGATGTGTAGATCAGGCTGGCCTTGAACTCAGAGAATTGTCTGCCTCTGTATCCCAAATGCTGGGATTAAAGGCGTGTGCCACCACAGACTGGCATCTGGGAATTTTTTATTTTATTTTTAAGGTTACTTTTTATAGCCAATATTCTAAAATTAAATTTGTTCTTTGAAAATTCTGTATGTGGCTCAGGCAGTGGTACCATACTCCTTTAACCCAGCACTTGGGAGGCAGAGGCAGACAGACCTCCTCTTGAGTTCCACACCAGCCTGGTCTACAGAGCAAGGTCCAGGACAGCCGAGGCTACACAGAGAAACCCTTTCTGGGCGATGGGGGGGGGGCTCCCATTTGTGTACATAATGTATTCTAATGACTCACCCTTCACCCTCTCCCCCCCACACACACCAGCATTCCTTCCTTCCCCACAAGCAAGCCCCTTTGCAATTTTGCTTTGTTTTTGAACCCCTAAGTTTAACCAAGGGTCTCTGTGAACATGGGTGTGGAACGGTTCATTAGAGTCTGGTAGGCTCACCAGTGAGAAGACAATGACTCCCAGTCTCCAGAACGCATCCATATTCAATAATCCTTTCCCAAGGGAGAGGAGGGTCCCGAGAGCCCCTCCCTACCCACAGGTGACTGTTGGCAGGCCCGGCCTTGTGCAGGACCAGGGCAGGCAGCTAACTGCAGCCGCTCTGATGCAGTTCATGATTGTAGGGCCATGTCATGCCCAGGAGGGCAGTATTTCACAGCACGGCACCCATCGCTGGGTTTATACATCCTTTTTGCTTTGGTTCCCACAGAGTTCCCGGTACAGAGTGAGTGCACCTTCACACACATGACTGCACACATGTATCACACACAGCACACACAGTACACATATTACAGCATACATATCACACACAGTAGACATATCACACACAGCACACATACACAGCACACATATCACAGTATACATATCACATGCAGCACACAAATCTCTCTCACACACACACAGTACACATATTACAGCATACATATCACACACAGCACACATACACAGTACACATATTACAGCATACATACACAGCACACATATCACACACAGTAGACATATCACACACAGCACACATACACAGCACACATATCACAGTATACATATCACATGCAGCACACAAACTCACATACACACAGTACACATATTACAGCACATATCACACACAGTACACATACATACATTATAAGCACATTTTTTAAATTAAGTTGGCTATTTGCTTCTTTGTTTTGAGACAGTATCTCTTAAAACTCACACTACACTGGCCACAAACTTGCTCAAGTAGCTGAGCAGGGCCTTGAACCCCTGATCCTCTGCCTCTAGAGTGCTGGAATTATAGCAGGTGCCACCACACCTGACCAACACATTCCGTTCTATTATTTCTCAGGCTGCAAAGTCTTCATAGGTATGGGTGGGTGCTTACCTCCCTTGAGGGAGGGGCCCTAGGTAGCTGGAAGAATTTGGATTCCTAAGAGAGGGCCTGTGAAGTCACCGACCCCAGGGCAGCTGGGAAGTGCCATGAGGCTTGGGTGAGGGTAGACTTAAGGAGAATCTCCACCATCTGCACCGCACCGGCTCAGTCATTTTGCCCTGTTGTCCCAGGTCCCAGCTCCTTAGAGGAGCGAGGATCCCCGGGATTATAGGGGTGGACATCTGGCTAGTGGAGGATGGGAGGAGGAGGGGGAGGGATCGTCCCTGATCAGTCCCTTCAGGATCTTACTAGAACCCTTGGAAACCAAAGGGTGGCTCAGCGGATTCAGGGTGACAGGAGACTGGGCCCCAAGTCCCTGGCCACCGGAGGCTTGCTTCTTCATCCTCTCCCAGGGCCTCGCAGTGCCTGGGAAATGCCAGCGTCCTCTTGCCCTCTCTTTAGAAGACACTGGGTGAAAAGGCACAAGACCCCTCACCTTCTCCCCTGGGGACAATGGCTGGCATTTAGAAGACCTTTTCATGTGGGGTGATTTAGCTGTTCTCTTGGACACCTTCCAGCAATCGGGCGAGCCATGTACTGGTGAACAGAGGCAGAGACTGAGGTTTCCAGAGTCAGTGGAGAGTTGACCAGACCAGGCTGCACGCAAACCCTACGAGTCAGGCTTTCAAGCCACGTGGCACCCTTCCACGGGAAGGGTGGGCACACTCCACTGGAGGAGAGGCGTCCCCCCATCTCATTCCTAACAACCTAACGCCCCCTCAGGCTTTTGTTGTTACTGTTTGCTTCTGTGTCTTGAGACTTCATCACCAGCCTGAGGCCGGCTTCAAATCTGTGTAGTAGAAGGTGGCTTTGAACCCTTGGTCCTTCTGCCTCGGTCTCCTAAATCCTGGGATTAAGGGCATATATTGCAACATTCGCTCCCTCCCAGGAGCCTTGGCAAGCCTCTCAGATAGATGATTGTCACAATCCCAGGGACTGGCTGTCTTCATATCATAACCACCCCTACTCCTATAAACTCCACTTTTCCACCCCTTCCTGAGAGACTTGCTTAGTTTCTTCCTTTGCGTAGCCAAGCAGAATGTAGCTGAGTGCCGGGTAGTTTGTGTATATAGAGAGGGAGTCAGGATCAGTGTGGAAGAAAGATCAAAGGAATAAACATCCTGGGGACCCTGGCATTTTGTCGGCCTGGGAGCTGAGGAAATCAGGCTAGAAGCTTGAGATGCTGTTGGATCCCACTTTACTTCTGTCTTTATCCCCCAGGAGCATCACACCACCTCGAGTGTTCTTTGAACCCAAGGCACCGAATTCCGAAAAGGCGAAGGTACAGTGGTCCACCACTCTGGGGCACTTTGAGCATCTTCCAGCTCAGAGGGGAGGAGGAGAGGGGGGAAACAAAACAAAAACCAAAAACAAGAACATTTTTGAGGCTTCTGGGTCTAATGTGTTTGGACCTCTACCAGCACAGAGATAAACATCCATCTTCCCCAGGCATCTTTGACCTGGGAGACAGTGTTTTCTGTATCCTAGCAGAAAAATGGTGGAGAAATAAGTTGTCCGGCAGTGAAGCCAGCTAGAAGAAGGTTCGTGGAAGTCTGAAAACCATGTCCTTTTAACTATGTGTCTGAATGTGTGTACGTGTATGTGTGTGCGTGTGAGTACGGGGCCACAGAGGACACAGGGAGCAGAACCCCCAGAGTTAGAATGACAGCCAGTTGTGGGAGCCGGGAACTGAACCCAGGTCCCCTGCAAGAGTATTATGTGTTCTTCCTCACTTAGTCATCTCTCCAGCCCCCTCAAACTGTCTCTTTTTAAAGTTAATATTATTAGTGGTACGTATTTGCTTGGTCCGCTTGTGTGTATGTATGTGCACCACGTGTGTGCAGGTACCCAGAAAGCATAGGATCCCCTAGACCTAGGATTATGGGCAGTGTGAACCAGTCAGTGTGGATGCAGGGAACTGAACCCTGGTCCTCTGCCAGAGCAGTATACACACACACACACTCCTAACCACCCAGCTGTCCCTGCAGCCCCTTAAAATTGTGTCTTTTGTTGTTGTTGTTGTTGAATGGGTTCTGTACCATTCCTCAAAATGTCTACTTAGGATAAGTCGCAGTTCATTTGCTCACTGAGGAGCAAGAGCCCAGCTCTGGGGTAATGCCCCTTGTTTGTCTCAGGGGTCTTAGATCTTCAGGACTCTAGTCTATAACCCTAAGTGGTAGCTGGGTACCCGACGTGTCACACAGCACTGGGATGGGAGCCCCTTTGCCACCCTAGAACTGGCCGCATGCTGGGTGATGCATGGGAATGGGACTCTCTCCTGCCATTCCAGCAGCTCATACTGGTTGAACTGGGAGATGTCTGTTTCTTTTATGGATCAATACAGGCTTAAGAATTGGACGTGTTCACTGAGGTTTCAGGGGCTCAGAGAGAAAAGGATCCATGCCTTCAAGAGTTTAGTGATAGCCCAGGCATTCAGAAACAGAATAGTGGTCTGGTCTGTCAGGCGATGAGGGAATCTGTGTGTGGAACAGTCCTGGGCACGTGGTTAGCAGCTGAAGAGGCTATAAGCATCTTGAGAGCTTGGACCAGGTCACGTCTAAGTTTCCAATGGATATTCTACTTGGTTCTAATTGACACACAGCCCCAGCTCATTTAAAACAGGCATGCTGTGCCTTTTGAACATATGTAGCAAGGTAAATCTTGATGGGTAACTCATTAGGATGGATCCCAGAGACCAAGAAAGAAAGGCACACAGACGGAGGGCCCAAAGAGTCTTCTGTTGGAGAAGCTATTGATGGAGGTGTGGGTCTGGGAAGAGGCAAGGCCAGTTGGATTCCCACGTTTTGGACCAGAACGAGGAATTTATTTGTGGCTTCGAAGGAAAAGTGACGTCATCTGAGCGGGAATGTGCCTGGCTTGTCTTAAGGAAATATTGACAGGTGTTGATGAGGACACTAGTTAAAGCAGAAAGTGCACATAACTGAGCCGGATCATGCAGGACTATACAGAAACACCCATAGACTTCACTACCTGTGTCATGGGCTCACACACACATCTGCCGTTACAGCTTCCCTTCTGATTCTAAACAAACCCCTTTCTGCTATTTCACTGAGCCTCATTAACTACTTACCCTTCGGACACCAGTATCCAAACCCACGAGCAAACCTCCAGTCTTTCCAAGGTTTAGACAGAGCATATATTCCCCGGCCATGGGACACATCAGGGGTCTGGCACCGCTGGCGGCATTTGGGGTGTTACACCACTTATCCCGTCTCCCCGTGTGCCCTGTGGCCTGAATTGCTGTGGTTTTGCATAGTGTGGGATGCTCATATGTTGCATGATAGCAGAAACCACTGCCTGGCCACTTCCTGTCCTGCCCTTTGATCAACGGCTTAACAAAGGCGCTTATTCAGAAGTAACAGAGCCCTGCCCCACCCCCACACCAAGGCTGTGTGAGGCTCAGTAGTGTGGAAAAGCAGAGTTCTGGAATAGGGCTGGTTAGGAGCCTCAGTCTCCTGGGCCCTGCCTGCAGGAGGGCGGGGGTGGAGAGACTTGCCCCCAACCAGCAGCTCACTCACAACCTCCCAGAACCCCAACTCTGCTGCGGGGATCCAATGCCTCTGGTCTCTGTCGAAGCTGCTCTCACATGCATGAGCACACATATGCATCTCTTTTTTATTTTTTATTTTTTTAAGGCAAAGCAACTCTCCACTGGTTGTGAATGCCAGAGGACCAGTGTCACATCAGGGGGTCCATTCTTCCCCTGAGACTCTAAAGAGCCCCCCCCCTTGCTTTCTTCAGTCTTCTGGCATCTCCAGGATGTCATCTGCTTGACTCACCATGACTCCTTGGATGCGTCAGTCCCGTCAGTCCCGAGGCCGCCTCATCATCGTGGGGCTGGGGCTGGCTGGTCGTTGGATTTAGGTCTGGCCTGAGCTCATAAGACTGCACCCTGGTGACATTCACAAATACCTTATTTCCAAGCAAGGTCAATGTGTTAGCTTTTCTGTTGTGACATGCGTGTAAGAGAAACACTTCAAAGGAAGAGCAGTTAATGTTGTCTCACAGTTTCAGTCCATGGTCACATCTGGGTAAAATGGAGTCATTTACGTCATGGCAGCCAGTAAGGAGGGTGCGAGAACACAAGGGACCCTGGGACAAGACACGGCCCGCAAAGCATGTTGCAATGACCAACTTCCTCCAGTGAGGCCTCACCGTAGACATTTCCAACATCTCCCATGATGCCATCAAACTTATTACTTATTGTTATCATGGTGCTTCAAAACAGGGTCTCTCCGGTAGTCCTGGGACTCAGTATTTAAACCAGACTGGCCATGAACTCATGCAGACTCTGCGTTGGGAATGCTGGGATTAAGGATATGCTGCACCACTCCAGGCTGTCATCCAATCATTAACCCACCTATGGGTTAATCGATAAAGGCAGAACTCTTGCAGTCCAAATGCCTCTCTGTGGCTGGCTCTGCCAGCTGAGGGCAAAAGCCACCCGAATGGCCCATCATGTCTCATTTTAAGGCTCCCAGTGCACATGAATGCTAGGGTTGGAAATAAGCATCCGGAGGGGAGGGGCACAGTACTTCCCAGAACTGCCATTTGACAGGAGGTTGTGCTCACTGGTTGTGAAGCACCCCGAGTTTACCCAAGTGTGAGTTGAACGACTATGAAGCCAGATCCACTGAAACATGGGCATGTGTCATCTGGACTAGGAAGGACTGGGCGGGCTAAACAGAAAAAGTTCCCTGACCTCACTCGGCTTCTGGATCATAGGCTGTTTCAGCCAAAAGATCCAGGGGTGGCCCCTTGTGGAGGGATAAAAGAAGCTAGCCCCTCCTTTTGAATTCTCCTGTGAGGTCTGTAGGCTCCCTGGAGACACACCCTGGCCCCTACCTGACAGGCTTGGACTCTCCTCTTTTCCGTCACAGAACCAGCTTTGCCGATACCCGCTTTCCCTGGCCATTGAGGAGGACCACCACTTCCGGGGCCTGTTTGATCTCTCTACTCCAGTGCTGCTGTGGGGCGGCCTCTTCACTCAAGACCTCTGGAACAATCTGAGCCATTACAAGGTCCCCTATGGGTGGCAGGGGCTCTCCCGGAAGAGTAAGCTGGCGCCGGCTGCTTCTCCCCCTGCCCCCGCCTCAGCCAGCCCCTTCTGTTGGCCCTGCTGTGTCCCGGCCTTGGCTGCCTTCACAGCATCTGTGGGGGGCTTCGTGGGTGGGCCCCCTCTCTGTGTGACCCCTGCCTCTCTCTCATCTTCATCCAGATACCCAGGACTAAGCTGAGATCCCCTTGCTCAGTGGCTCTCACTATCCTGGGGTCTCCTTGGCATGGAAAATGTGCAGTGTTTAATGGTAGTCAGATGTCAGAGGTCCAGGGGCCTGCATGGCGCCATCGTGGCTGCATATTGCCCAAACCACCACGCTCAGGCCCACCCCATGCCTTGGACTCTTTACTTTTGGAGCATACACAGTCTTAAGAGAACTGGCCACTCTAGCTGTCCAGGGACCCAGGCTCCCCATATCCTTTTCTCTATCCGCCCCCCCCCCAGCACTGACCCCCACTCTGCCCTGTCCTGCTTCCCGGGTCTCTGTAACGTAGCTCCCAAGCCAAACAGTCTGAGGAAAGCCTGGCAACAGCCCGCTCCCCGTGGCTCCCCCTTGTCCTCACCCACAGCTGTTGTCTCTACCCTGAGCCTTCTCAACAACTCCGAGAGTGCGGAGCTCTTTGGTGTTTCCAAACCGCTAAGCTGTATTCGGTGTGCCGTGGTGGGTAACGGAGGCATTCTGAACGGGTCCCGTCAGGGTCAGAAAATCGATGCCCATGACTATGTGTTCAGGTAATGAGGGCAGGGGCTAGGCAGCTGGGTGAACAGCTCTCTTTGGGCTAGTCCCGGGGAAACATCTGCCCCGAGGCCAGGGCTAAGGCAGTTGCCAGCCTAGGGCAGTTAGGATAGGCAGATGTCAGATCTGGACCAATAGTCCTCAACCTGTGGGTTCTGACCCCTTTGGGGGTGGGGGGTCGAACGACCCTTTCACAGGGGTCACCTAAGACCATTGGAAGACACATATATTTACATTACTACTCATAAGGGTAGCAAAATTACAGTTATGAAGTAGCAACAGAAATAATTTTTATAGGGAGGGTCACTACAACATGAGGAACTGTATTAAAGCGTCTTGGCATTAGGAAGGTTGAGAACCACTGTCCCAGACCAACCCTGAAGAGGGCACAGATGCCCAGTGTAAAGGAACCCGGGAGGAATGATCCCCAGGGCCAGATTCACCCATTCAGAAAGTTATCCCTGGGGACCCAGGAAGTGAGGGTAGGCTGGACCCCAAACGGGTATTCTCAAAAAAGAGGGGAGAGGTCTGTGAGTAATGCCACACCAGACAGCATGGCGTAGCCAAAGAGACACTGACGGGCTTCTCTGGGGCCAGACTCAATGGAGCAGTGATCAAAGGCTACGAGCTCGACGTGGGCACCAAGACCTCCTTCTACGGCTTTACGGTGAACACCATGAAGAATTCCCTCATCGCCTACTCCAAGCTGGGCTTCACCTCTGTGCCACAAGGGCAGGTGAGGCCCCCAATGGGTGGGCCACGGTGGCTGACAGTGGCATTGTCTTCTTAGGAACTCTTGCGTGGGGTGGGCCTTGGGATTCACAGACTCTCTGTCCCACGATGGGTAGGTAGGCAGTGTTAAGGTCTTGGCCACCTGCGTGGTGGAGCATGCCTTTAATCTGGGCACTCCTGGGGCAGAGGCAGGAGGATCTCTGTGAGTTCCATGATAGCCAGGGCTACATAGAGAGACCCTGTCTCAAACAACAAAACAAAATAGATCTCAGCCACATGAGTCAGATAATAGAGCTGAAGGCAGATCTGCTGGAGATTTCCCAGATTGTTCCAGTGGCTCAGGGCTGCCTCAAACATGGGAGGGCAAGGACTAATACTGAATGAAGATGGGTGCCTTGTGAACCCCACTCCACTGGGGAGGACTGAAGACCGGAGCTCTGACATGCAGCCAGTCAGCACAAGCCCCAAGTTTCAAACCTAGACTGCTCACCCGGGGTTCCCTTATCTATGGTGCAAGGGCATTTATTGGGTACCTCCTCTGTCCCCAGAGTGTCACAGGGTATGGACATGAGTGCCACGGTCGCTCCGTGTAGAATCATCATACCTGTCTTCAGATGGCAGAGTTAAGGGTCGCCGAGAGGTTACCAGGCGTGAAGCTGGTACACACGTTCAGTGCTAGCACTTGGGAGGCAAGGACAGGCAGATATCTGATGTTTGAGGCCAGCCTGGTCTACAGAGTGAGCTCCAGATCAGCCAGGTCCACGCAGGGAGCCTTTGTCTCTAGCAGGGAAAAATGCTGAGAGGTTTGGAAATGTGTCCAAAAGCATTTGGCTAAAACTGCCCAGATCTAGGCCCCCTAGAGATATTTCCATTTCTCCACACTACCGACCAGAATGATGTGTGAGCTCTTGGACTCTCATCAGAACTCTGTAGGAAATGGAGGTTCAAAGAGGCTCATAGTCTGTTATAGCCAGTGCCGAAGCCAAGCCTTGGAGCCCTCTCCCCTGGGTCTTCCTTCCAGGCTCACTTGCCCTAATGCCGGCTTTCTGCCTCGAGCTTGCTGGGTACCATATGCAGAGTGAGAGAGATCTCAGGTGTGGGGTTCTGTTGGCCTAGGACATGATGGGCCGTGCTTCTAGAAGCTTCTGCCTGTGATCAGGACATTCAGGAGTGGCCTAGGCATATTGTCTGTGCCCTGAGTCCTCACTATAGAAACTGTTAGTTCATGAGAGAACAAAATATACTTCTCTGGAATCTGCTCCCCCCCATGATAAGCCTTTATCACCTCATCAAGCCAGTGTGTCAGGCATTTGGGAATGGATTAACAAGTGTCTCTAGCTCAGGTTCTCTCGGGCTGTGGTCTGCTCCCATCTGAAGCAGGAGTGGGGCTGGGGCTGGGGTCCAGACAGTCGTGTTACAGGCATATTTCACCTGGGCCCTTCTGGAGAGCCCATGAGAGTCCTCATGCTATGACTGCTAATGCCCCCTGATGGAGCAATCCAGAGAGAGCAAGGAAGCCAAGCGCCCTTTATGACCATCTCTGAGATGTGTATTTTGCTAACACGTATGTCTGTGCGCCATGTACATGCTTGGTGCGTGCAGAGGCCAGAAGAGGGCGTTGGATCCCCTGGAACTGGAGTTGTGGCTGGTTATGAACCACCATGTGATGTGGGTACTGGGAACTGAACCCAGATTCTCTGGAAGAGCAGCCAGTGCTCTTAACCACTGAGCCATCTCTCCAGCTCTCTGCTTTCTAGTTTTAGACTCTGGCAGGAGGATCAGGAAGGTCGGGACTTCCTTGGCCGCATAGGGAGTTTGAGACCCTGTCTCCAAAAGACAAAAATCACAGAGAAGAGCCCATGCATTAGTCACAAAGTGTAGCCAGTCCTTGAGGGATGGGCAGTCAGGCTTCGACTCTCATGGGAGAGGGGTGGGGCCACGGATGTGAAAGGTCCTGTGAGCCTACAATGAAACCGGCGTGGGAATACGGCCTAGCAAGGAAATGTTCACACCCTTGGGTGTCAAGATGAGGCAGAGGACTGTTTTTCTGTGGAGCTGAACTTGGCCTTGTCTGATACCGACAGGACCTTCGGTACATCTTCATCCCCTCCAGCATCCGTGAATACCTCATGCTGAGATCAGCCATTCTGGGTGTACCTGTCCCAGAGGGCCCCGATAGAGGCGACAGGTGAGCCGCTGAGTGGTGTGTGAGTCTGTGTCGTGGGGGTGGGGACACCGTGAGCATCCCCCCTTGTTCTGAGGTCCCATGGCTGGGTAGAGAAGCTGCCTGATAGGTCTTTAGCCCTAGCTATAGTATAAGAAGCTGTGCAAAGAAAGAGAAGAGAGAAATCTCCAGCATTCAGTAAGTCCCTAATTGTTCAGCATAATTTAGCATTGAGATTGTGCACTGGCTGACAGTGGGGGCCATCTTGTGAGGACCCTCGAGTGTGGCAGGCCACAGGCCTCAGAGAACTCTGTTCAGTGGGTGGAGGGGTAATGGGTGACCACCAGAAGTGCCGACATTAAAGCTACAGGTGGATGTGGCAGAGCTCACATTCTTCCAGGTGACTCAGGGCCCAAATAGCCCTACCAGCTGGATAAGAGGAAGGGCAAGCTTGGCCCTCAGCTCCAGGGCTGTCTCCCCTCTGTCCTGATAGAGGACAAGCCGGCAGCCGGCCCACTGAGCACACTGCTCTGCAAACTGAGGCCTGTCACACAGACCCTGGCAGGGAGGCTTCCTCCCCAGGGCTCTGCCCAGGAGCCAAGAACACTTAGGCCCCCAGGCTCAGTCCACAGAGGTGAGAACAGAGGCTGCCATGTCCTCACACCATCTTCCTGGATGTCAGGCCTGAGTCCAGCTCCTTTGATCCGTATCTAAGCCCTGGCCTGAACCCACTGTACATACGCCTTCTGGATGTCTCATGCCTGAGAAACCTATGCCACTACTGTGGCCAGATGACTCTTGGGACGTGTGACCCACTCTCCCGAAGAGCAGATTTCTCATGGGTTCAGTGCTAGAAACCGGGCCAGCCCCTGCTGGGCGCCCCACCCCCACCCTACCATTACCTAACAATTGCTCCCTGGCGTTGCTATTATAGGTCATGAGAACTGAGGGTGGGTTCTGTGACACGCTGGGAATGGGCCCTTGGGGAAACCACCTCAGAGATCCCGGGTGGACATAACCCTCCCTAACACCAATGAGCTCCCCCTCCCACACCCCTAATCCGTCCCCAACCCAGTCCCCTTCCCAGTCCCGGTCTAACCACGCTGATAATTCAATCAACCAGCAGTCCTTCCCTAACTCTGGAGGCTCGGCCCCTTCCCCTTCCCCCACCCGGGGAACTAGTTCCCGCCCAACCTCTCATAACCCCACCCCAGCCGCCTCTCAGCCTTCCTCCCGGGCTTCCTCCCAGTCCCCCAGTCCTCATGTCCAGCACGTGTCCCGAGGGTCTACTCAAGCCCCTACCCCTCCAGCCTCCAAGTCTCCCTCCCAGACTGGATTAAAATCCCTGTCTCGAAACCCTTCCCTGACGCCCTCGGTGCCCGTGGCCGTCACCAGGTCCCCTTCCCACAGCCCTGCCACCTCGGCCTCCTACATCGGGCCCATCCGCCAGATCCCTTCCTACATCGCCCCCTACGTGCCTCGCTTCATGAAGGAGGGCCCCTTCTTCCAGCCCCCGACAGCACCCCTGCCGTACAACCGGTGCTTCCCCTGCCCCTTCCCGTGCCAGGCCCAGGAGACCCGGCGGGCGCCACCACCGCCCCCTGACTCTCTCTACTTACCCCTGCTCCCCCCGCCCCCTCACGTCCCCCAGGGGCAGTGCTCCTACCCCACGCCTCCAGCCCTGTTCACACCCCCGTCCTCCCTCTCCTATTGTCCACCAACCGAGGTCCTGCTGAAGGGGAAACCGCACGTGGTGCCATCCGTGTTACCAGCCACCTTCTACACCCCCTTCTCCCGCTTCTACTCCCAACCCCGTCCGTACCGCTACCACCGGCGGCTAACACTTCCCTCGCTCTCCCTTCAATATGATGGTACTGGACGCTCTGTCCACTTCTACCGCGGGACCTAGGCCTCACACCTATTTTGGATCAGAAACCTCTGCCGGTAAATTCAAGCTCCTGCATCCAGACTTCATCCGCTACCTGACAGAGAGGTATGGGGGATGAGGGTGGGGCGGGGGTAGGAGGAGCAACTTTTGTCTTTTACCTTTACCCCTATCCCCGCATATTTACAGTGCCTTCAGCTGGGCACCGGGCAGCGGCCCTGTACTGAGTGCCAGGTGTCCATCACTGTGCTAAAGGCGTCTGCAATTCATTTACTGTCTTACTACCGTGATGGAGGTGGTTATACAGTTGACTGGGTCGGCACAAAATAAGCAAGAAATGGGAAATTGGGTTCCAGGGACTTTCACAAAGCCGGAAGGTGTACAGCGGTATTGGGTGGTAAAAGTCTAATATCGCTTTTGGCTCCGAAACCCAGCCCACCCAAAACCACTGATGGGAGAGTCAAGGTGGACAGTCTGAGCACCCTTTCCTTCCCCCAATGACTTCATGGCCCCCTTCCTCGATGGTGGGTCTCGGTGTCGGGGGAGGTTAGGTTAGATGTTTGGTTCGGTCAGGACAGTCTGGGTTGTCATGGAGGGGGCGTGACATTAGTAGATAAAAGCCAAGGATCTGCCAAACATCCTTCAGGGCACAGGTCCAGCAGGGGTACCCAGTGCTGGGCATCCTGCAGTTGAGAAATCCACTGTATAACACAAAGGCCCACGTCTCAACAAAGCGGCGGGGAGCAGTAGGTGGAGAGAGGCCATCGGAAGCTCTGTGAGCTTGAGTGACCTTCCCAGTCAAGCTTTAGCCATAGATCCAGATCCAAGATCAGCACCTGTGGGTATTATCACACCCAGAGCTAGAATCTGAGTGAGCTCCCTGCTCATCCATTATTCCTGCTGGTCCATTGTGTGAGGGAGAGAAACGTGGATCTCAGGTTAAATAGAGAGGCCATCTATGTGTGCCCAGACATTGAAGATAATAGGATGGAGGACTATAGTTGTAGAAGGAAAGGGGAGGCTCTCGCTCCTATAAGGTGCTCATTTCATCCTAAAAACCCCACACTTGGATCACTTGGACACTCCCTAGATAGAGGGAGTAGAAGGTTGGAGTAGAAGGACCCCTTTCTGAACTTCTCCAACCCTTTGAGCGGCCAGCCTAGAGTCTAACGTTGCAATTACCTCAGTGGCATTCAACACCTGAATGTCTTTCTCGGGGCTCTTTGTAAATCTTTGTGGAGAGGGCTAGAGCGAGTACCAGAGGCTATGGTGTAAACTCAGCATCAGCTTTCTCTTTTCTTGACATTGGCCAAAGTAGCTGACCGTTGAGTTTCTGGGATTCTGCTGTCCCTGCCTCCCGTCTCACCATAGGACAGATGTATGCTACTGTGCCCAACTTTACGTGGGTGCTGGGGATCCAGATTGGGGTCTTGGAGCTTGTGTGGCGTGATGAGGGCTTTGCTCCAGCACCTCTCACTTAGCCCCTTAACCCCTGCTCAGGTTTACCGCCTCTGATGTCCTTTCAGGTTTTTGAAATCCAAGTTGATTAACACGCGTTTCAGAGACATGTATATGCCTACTACAGGAGCGCTCATGCTACTGACAGCCTTGCATACCTGTGACCAGGTAGGTGGTCTCCTCCGGGAGCTGTGGGAGTCAGCAACAGCCCGGACTCCCCAGGACAGGAGTGCCTGTCTACTTGCTTACTCCTGTCATCCAAGAGGGTCAGATCCTTGCTTCACGACACCTCCCTCCTGGCTTCCCTCTCTTTACTCCAGGGGATAGTTGAGGTGCAGTGGGGCCAAACAGCTCTTCTGAAAACAAAATCTGGCTGGGAGCATCCTTTAATGGGGACATCCTTGAGCTGGCATGGACAGCAGGTTCAGCCCGTCACATGCAGCAAATCTGAAACTCTGTGGTAAAAGGTCCCTAGGAGGAGGCAAGAGTGATAGTTTTCAAAGGCAGGCTATGAAGCCTGAGGCTCTAGGTTCAATCCTTGATACCTTAAAAACAAAAGGCTGTCACCCCTGTAAGGGCATTCGGGGTGGAAGTCAGCGCCCTGCCCTATTCATTCTACCTGCTCTAATGCAGTTCGTCTCCCCCATCCCTGACTTCAAGATCATGAAGTCTGCGTCACTCTTACGTTACAAAGCCAGCTCTGCCACTCACTGTCTGAATGGGGACACTTGCAATTACCAATTACCTACTTTGTTCGGTAGGGTTAAGACTCACCTTGACTCACCTTGTGAGGGTGCATACAAAGGGCGGCGAGGTGCCCATGTTAATCCCCCCTCCCCATCTGCACCAGGGGAACCTGCTTGGGGACAGGCACACTCCAGTTCAAGTCACTTCACTGCACCTGTGGCCCAATAAACGCTAACTCTGACTGTCTTTGCCCAGGTCAGTGCCTATGGATTCATCACAAGCAACTACCAGAAATACTCAGACCACTATTTCGATCGAGAGAAAAAACCAGTGATATTCTACGCAAACCACGATCTGTCCCTGGAAGCTGCACTGTGGAGGGGTCTGCACAATGCTGGCATCCTTTGGCTCTTCCAGCGTTGACCCCCAAAGTACTGATTTATTTGCTTCATAAGTACTTCTCTTGACCTTTCAACCTTTGGAAGAGGCACCCATCACTCCCCTTGACCCTCTACTTCTCTAGAGGGTCCTGAGAAGGACTCGTGGCCATCACATCACCAGAGCCTGTGCAACACACGACACCATCTTGACTCAAGACAGCTCTTCTGGGTCTTAAGTAGGGGAAGGCAGACTGCTTTGTAGAATTTGTTTTAGAATTGAACTTTTACCAAAATGAGACAGCCAATCCTCAACAGCAAAGAGGCTGGTAGTTCAAAGCCAGCACCTGGTCTTGGACAACTAGGACATTAAAGGAGCCACTCAGGATTATCATTATCAAGCAGAGGCCCACACCTAGCTGGAACCAATGGCACATCAAGTCCCAAATGCCACTCAACCTGTGAGGACATCTTAAGCTTTCTGAGAACAGGACATTTTTGCCTCGTGATAGAGCGAGAACCAGAGGCAGAATGTAATTTGAGGGTAGCTAATAGGGTAAGTGATGGATGACCATTTTACCTTTTTTTTTTTTTTTTTTTTTTTTTTTCCTTGTGGAGGGAGGGGTGAGGTGCAGCTCAGGACTGTGACAGCCTAGCAGGCAGGAGCACCCAGGCCCAAGTTTTAAGGACATCCAGCACCAATGCACGGGAGGTACTAGCTCTTGACCAACTACATCTAAGTTGCCGCTACTGAGAGAAATCCTACTGGAGATGTAGCACTCCTTGTCACCAACAGGATGCTACTGAGTCACGGACCCTCATCCTCACATGGTAGCTTCAATAAAACATCAACTGAGGCAGTTTCCGTTTCATGAGCTTTTGAAAACCATTTTCGCTCTTATCCAACCGAAAAATCACACAACCCCAAAAGTGTGTGACTGGGGGTGGGGCGGGGAGAGTGGGTATCCAAACCACCCAAAGCAGCACGCCCACACCGGCCAACTACCGAAGGCTGAAGATGTTTGGTTCTTTGGGGAAACTGGTGGGGATAAACTTGTTATCAATGACCTAAAAACTTTGGGACAGCTGGGAGGGGTAGTGTGCACCTACATTCCAAGCAGAGGCAGATGGTTTGTCTGGTTTGGTCTACAAGGTCAGCCAGGCATAGCATGTAGCAGTGCATGCCTCACCTGACAGTGGCCATGGCAGCTCCCATCTGCAATCGCAGGACTGGGGAGGTTGAGACAGGTGGTGAGGGGTAATGAGCTTAGGCCAGCCTGGGAAAAGCAGCTTTGCTGTGTGGGCGTTAGAAAGGGGGTAAACAGACTCTCAGGGTCCCATCTCAGTCCCTCCCAGCGGACTGTCCTGACAACCCACATTTCCCAGCACCCTTTGGTCTATAGTGCAGACCCCTTAGCAGTACTTTTATGTGAGCCACTTTTTTTTTTGAAGACAGGTTCCTTTGTCCCTAGCTGTCCTGGCACTCGCTCTGTAGACCAAGGTGCCTTCAACTCAAAGAGATCCACCTGCCTCTGCCTCCCGAGAGTTGGGATTAAAGGCGTGCGCCGCCGCCGCCGCCGCCGCCGCCGCCGCCGCCGCCGCCGCCGCCGCCACCACCACCAGACTGGATTATTTTTATAAGACCTATTTTGATGTGTGAGTTTTGCCCTCATTGTTGGTCTGTGTATCACTTGCATGCCTGGTACCCATGATGGCTAGAAAAGGGGTTACAGGTCGTGCGTACTGGAATTGAACTTAAAGTCATCTCTCAAACCCGTCCTTGATGGAGTTAGGTAATGTTAATCGGCAACCTATGATTTAAGTACCAGGTCAATAGAAAACATCTTGATTTTCTGCAGTCAGGTTCAAGTGTTATTCTAGAACACCCCCCCCCTAGTGTTTTTAAGTCTCGATCTCACATTCACAATGCTAGTTGACTTAAATTTTATTAAGGTTTATTTGTGCTTCAAAACACAAAGCCCAACATCAACTTCCCAGGAAAGGCACTGTGAGAAATGCTTTTCTGGGAGCAGCCCCTGCCTCCCCAGTGCCTCCACTGCTGGCTGCCAGAGGCTTCCCAGGCTGACTGCAGTCATTTGACTCCTGGCTACTTCTGCAGACCAAACTCCAAGGTCCTTTGATGACACTCTCTCTGGGAGATTAAAGTCTACACAGCAGGGCACACAGGGTAGTAGTAACCTGGAAACAAAAAAGGAAAAACAAGTGAAGGAAGCGGCCGGTGGAGTGACTCCAAAGTGAGGAATGTGGGAACCAGCACAATCAGCCTGGGGCTCCTGCCCCTGTCATTTAGAAGGCATTGTGTGCACAGGCCACAGGCGGGACTGACAACCCAGGCTGATTAACAGGTTTGTAACTAGTTAGTTTTTTGCTTTTTTGTTTTTAAGGAGACAGGAGAAGTTTCTGGTGACAGTCCACAGGGGAGCAGAGCCAAGCAGACCTGCTCCCCTACAGGCTATGGCCTGTGAATCTCACCCAAATGCAGTTACTTTAGGTGATGAAACAGAACATGATGGCGCACACCTTTAGTCCCACTACTCGGGAGGCAGAGGCAGGAGGATCTCTGGGGGTTTGAGGCCAGCCTGGTCTACACAGTGAGTTCCAGGACAGAAACCCTGCCTCGAAAAAAGTGACAAGTAGAAAAGCTTTACACACCTACCAGTTTCCACAGGAAAGCACAACCTGAGGGCATTTGAAAATGTCACTGAAACTGTTACTAGGGCACGGTCCAACCCGGTGCCACTTGTTTCTCTCCTGCTCCTCTGCGGCCCGTCAAGCAACCATGACATTCACACAGGACAGAATCTGTACTGAAGGCTGCCAGGGTCCCAGCACCCTCTTTCCCCTAAATGTCAGGACTGCTGTGGTGCCAAGGACAGAGTCATTAAGCATTCTCATGGCACAAGCCTTACATTCCTGTCTCCTTCAAAAGAGCACATTCTTTTTCTAGAAATATGTGACAAGCAACCGTTCACTCCACAGTAAGTACAAAATGAGCCCTGGCAACATGCCCATTTCTGCTAACTCGGGGGCTCTGCCCTCAGAGCCATCACTCAAGGGAGAGGGTTACAGGGCAACCAGGCTGGCACACATCAGGTCCCAGCAGGGCACATAGCTCTCTATGGGGTCCACTCAACCCCTTATAAAGCTCGAATTTCTTCAAGCATGGAGCCACACCCCTAAGCCTCAGAACATAGTATTTTCCCTCAGCTGAAATTTTCAGACAGGGATAACTAACATCCATCACAGGCTTATGAGCTTTTTTGGAACGAAAACAAAATGGGAACATAAAACCACAAAGACGGGCCAGGCACGGTGAAGAAACCTTTAATCCCAGCACCTGATAGGCAGAAGCAGGTGGGCCTCTGTGAGTTTGAGGTCACCCAGGTCTACATATCGAGTCCCACCTGGGGCTAAACAGTAAGAGCCTGTCTCGAACTAAAGGGGGTTACAGGGAAAGCAATGGCTTCTTTTGTCACAAGGGAGCCACCTCACCCCGCACAACGCAGAGTAAGGCATAGAAGCACTGCCCTCCACCCTTCTGACCCAGGGGCAGGATAGTTACCTGGTGGCTGCCACAGCATCCCTTTCCACCCCAGAGACTTGGCCTGTACCTGGTGATAAGGAAACATACAAGGTTAAGTCTAAAGCAACTCACAGGAAAACCATGCCGGGAGCTGCCGGTCAAGCCCGGGAAGCTGAGTTTCAGATATCCATGTTCCACAGAGAGGCCCCTTGACCTTCAGACAGGGATAACTTTACATCATCATGCACTCAGCTCCCACAGGCCTACCAGCCTGAGAAATCTTTCAAAAAAGACATTTTCACATGTACATACATACATGTACATATGTGCATCATGTGCCTAGTGCCTGTAGAGACCAGAAGAGGGTGTTGGATCCCCTAGAAGTGTGATTACAGGCGGTTGGCTGCCTGAAGTGCATGCTGGGAAATGAACCCAGGCCCTCAGCAAAAGCAGGTGCTCTCAGCCTGAGCCTTTTCTCTAGCCACTCCTGTCCTCTTAAAGACAGGGTCCCGAACATTAAGCAGCCAAGGCAAGAACTACTGAGTTTGAACCTGACCTGTGCTACACAGCAAATTCAAGGTGAACTCAGGCTACAGGCCTCAGGGTGGGAAAAGATCACTCCCAGCAGCATCCATCTTATCACTGAGCCACAGTTTTTGACATGCTCTTCCAGCCCACCATAGGAATGCCTAAAATGGTTTAGGTCACCCACTACTTCAACTGGCCCACTGAAGGACAGCCACCTGTCACAGCTGCTACCAAAAGATGACATCATACAGTTTCTCCTTCCCATCTACATGTACAAAAGCAAACATGAGGTTTTCTGTTTAGACTAAGATCAGAAATCTACGCCAAGAGCCTCTTAAAATAGCCGGCACTCTAATCTTGCTGTATGAGGATCCCAAAGTACAAAGTAGAACAGATCATCAAACTGTTTCTGTCTGCCTGCTCTCAGACTTCCCACAAGGTTCTTCATTCCATTCCAGAACCATTCGCATTCACCAGCAGAGGTGGACCCAGGAAATGCTTTTTAGGTGTTGGGAGATACAATAAGGTTTAGGAACCATTAATTCTGCTTTTTCAAAAGACACAGGGTTCTGTGCCACTATCAGCTAGCAGGCCAAAATCTTTAACCTAAAATGCAATTCCAGCTCAGCACATAAAGGAGCTGAAACAAAAACTCAGGCCGAGTCATCCTGACTAATAAACACATGCCATGGCACATGCAAAAGAAATACAATCTTTACGTAAGCACAAGGCTCTAAGGTTTGACCTCTATCCCAACGCCCCCACCAGAAAACTATAAATGCAGTTTATAGGAGTTCCTTAACCTCAGCTCTACTGACAAGTTGGGTATAAGTCTTTCTAATGGTGGCCCTGTGCCTTGAAGGACAGTCACCCAGCATCAATTAGATGTCCCCTGGAAGCCAGTAGCTGCTTATGTAACTTTGGGCAGAATCCCCTAAGCCTCAGTCTACATGGCAGCAAAGTGGGGGATGCTCTTACATTCTCACATGTTAAACACAGCTTATGAGGGCAGTTAGGTCCCGTGTTTCTTCCCCCCACCCCCGCAAATTTAACAATCCTTCCAGGCAACCCAACCCCTGCCACTCTATGAGAAAGTCTTACCACACACGGCACTGGCACTAAGTTCCCATGTGCCACATCTCATGACGTCATCTCCAGGAGACAACTCCAATCTAAAAGAGAAATTAAGACAAGGGAGTTCATTCTAACAGAAGCAACCCTGTGCCGTTTGCTCTCCAAACAGGTGTTAAGAAGTTGAGCCTCAGGAAACCACAATCCTTCACAAAAGATGCCATTTCAGCCAGGGATAACTACATCATCCTCGGCTCAACCAATGAACACTCCTAAATCCCAGCCAACCCCAAACTCATGTTCCAAGTATCTCCCCTTCCTTCGTCCCGTCCACTGTGTCATCCCTGCTGACTTCAGGAGTGACACTTGGCGGCCCCAAGTCACACTGGCACAGCCCCTCTTCTAGACTGGGGAGAAACTCTTACCGAAGGGGGATCACGGCTCAACACGCGCTTCTAGCGGGACTTCGGAAGTGCGCACGCAGCAGACGCCCACCGTCCATCTCCGCCTCCCCACTCACTCGGCGGCCACACCGGTCCGTGAGCGCTTGGGAACCAGGCCGCTACTCCTGAGATGGCACCTGAAGCTTTGCTCGCCCGGCGTCTCTACAGGTGCCAGAGGCACGCCTTCGAGAAGGAAAAAGAAAACCATGCCATCTGTAAAACCACGGGTCCTGCGGTCTCTACACAACGGCAGGCACTTCCGGCGGGCGGCACCCGTTTGCACGCGACAAGGCATGGAATGGAAGGCCAGCACCCTCGAGCACCCCAGGGCCGCATGCCCCGCGCGTGGCTGGCTGCGAGGCCCGGGGGCTGGAAGGAGCCCCACAAGGCGGGAACTGGAAGCCTAAAACGGGCTTCAGTCCTCTGCCACATAAGACGTCCCACAGCCCGGAAAACGCTTTCGTAACACAGAACCCCGGGCTTAACACCTTAACAGCAAAGCGGGGGAAGGGCTCCGGAGCACGAGGAGGAGGGACCAGGCATTTCCCCTCTTCCGCAGCTTACCAGCACGCAACGCCCCAGCCCGTCCAGCGAGTGCACCACGGACCCAAGCGGCCATGGCTCCCACACACGCGGCGGCCCACCCCGGAAAGGGCGCCGCTGCGCCTGCGCGCGGTCTTCCCACCCGAGTCTCGCCGGCGCTCTCGCGATGCTGAGGAGGGCCTGATGGGAAATGTAGTTCTAAACCAACCGTTGCCGAGAGTGCAGAGAAGGGGTAAGGGTGGTGGCCGCCACCAGGGGCAGCAGAGGTTCCTGGGGTGGGAAGTTCGGTTCTGTGGGCAACCTCGGCGGTCCCTGGCTAAGGCCGGGGAGGCGGAGAATGTTTGAGGGCGCAGGGACCGACGAGGAAACCGAGGCTCGTCGTTAACCGCTCTGCGCGTTTTAGCTGGGGTGCAGAGGCGTCGCTTGGCTTTGCAGGGACTCGCCAGCTGCGTCGGAGACGGGGGGCGAGCGGGTGCAAGCGGCAGGGGGCGCTCGAGCCTGCGGAGGACACGGTTCCTGACGGGAGAGCCCCAGCTCCAGGCTGTCACCCCCAGGAGCCCGAGGGGACCTCGCCTGCAGTGACAGCCGACCTCGGGGCCATATGAGCTGGGGATAAAATGATTTGGACAGAGGTGTTGAGCGTGAGGGTTAGGGGAAGGAGAGGCGCCCAGAAGAACGACATACCCCAGTGTGGGAATGGGCTCAGCTCAGGGTTGCAACCAGTCGCCTTAGTATCTGCCACGTGTGCTGTTTTGGTGGCTCTTGGGTTACACCTCGAACGGTTGCTAGGAGACCTCCCCTCCCCACTTTGTTGCTCTCTTGCTGAGTGAGGTGGGTGGACTGCGGTCCAGATGCCACTAGGGGTCGCTTATCAAGGTTTAGTTTGTGTCCTCGGAGACGGGCTTGGTCTCTGGTGAGAGTGGAGAAAACTGTAGTTTCACATCTGAGAAGGGAGCAGGGGCCCTAAGTGATCGGCCATTGAGCCAGAATCTTGCTTCTCTGTTAGCGAGAGACTCCCAACCAGACTCCTAAATGAGGAGCCGGTTTTCCTAGTCATGTCCCCAAGGTTTTCTTTCCATGCCTTTCTGAGTGTCACCTTCAGTCACTATCCTGGCTTCATTTTTTTTTTTTTTTTTAAATAGGGCAAAATGGCAAGGTCGGGCCAGAGCTTACACCTCTTTAGAATCTTAAATTTGCAAGATCAGAGAGGCCTTGTATTCATAACGCTTACCCATTCTCCTGGAATAGGACTCTGTAGCATTTAGCCTGTACCATTTTTTTAATGTGGAAATCTGTTGCCAACACATACTCTCCACGGCCATATTTGCTTACATTTATCTCCTTTAATTTGATTGTGAATGCTTCATGAGCAAGGGGACTGAGCTTAATATTTTCTTCTTAATTTCTTCACAGTGCTGGGTTTCATGTTTGGCTGTCTTCTCACAGAATGTTCCAAGGAGATAATCACTAATTTATTCAGCAAGAACACAGGCCCTTGAATTTGCCTGTCTTACCCTCGATTATTTTGTCTGAAAGGAAGGATGCATTTTCTCCCAGCACACTAAGTTCTTTCACTTGAGGCTTGCCGAGGGAATTGTTCTGCCGACAAGATGGCAACAGTAGTCAGTGCTCGGTGGCATTTGCCAGGGGGCCGTTCACTGTGTTGCGTCCTTTGGTCCTCACAATCTAGGAAGCACTGCCATCCTCACCCTGCTTGCCAGATGAGGAAGTACGTGCCGAGAGACGAGGTTACTATTTAAAGTCTCTAGTGTGGCACCCTTGGTTTGATCTCGGCCTGAGGGGTTCATGCTTTCCACTAAGCTGCTCCGTACCCAGAGTGAGTTGATCTAATATGGAAGACCTTTCCTAAGGCGAGAGGAAGAACGGGGGGGGGGGGGTTGGGGGCCTTTTAAAGTATGTGTGTAATATGTTTGCAGGTGACATAGAGGTCAGAGATCAACTTGGGTTCTCAAACATCCCCCACCTTATTTATTCACTCATTTATTTACTTACAGAAAAAAAAAATCTCCCATTAAACCTAGAGCTTGCCGATTTGGCTAGACTGACTGGCCAGTGAGATCCAGGGGCGGATTACAGGCATGGGCTACCTTACTCAGTTTATCCTTGTGTTCTGTTTGTTTATTTTGTGTGTGTGGAGGGGGTGGGGTGTGGGGGATGTTTTTCCTGCATGTATGTCAGATTGCCGCTGAAAAGGGAGTTGCAGTTGTGAAGTTTCTGGGAAGAGAACCTGGGTCTTCCCGAAGAGCAACCGAGCCATTTCTCCAGCCCCTGCAGCTGGCTTCTTGTGTGAGTGTCGGGGATCTGGGCTCATGTCCCCTGTCTGGGTGGCAAGTACTTTGCCAAATGAACCTTGTCCCCAGCTGCAGATTTTCTGTAGTTGGAGACTAATTAAAACAATGTTGACTGAGGAATGCCGAGCACCTGCTTTTGTTGGTGTGAGCCACAAGGAGGCAGAGTGAAGGTGAGCATCTGTAGGAGCCACCTAATGGGAGACTGACTGTGAGGTTTTGGGCTCTAGCAGCATTGGGGTGGGGGATTGCTAATTGCCAGCTAGCGAAGAGAGAGGCCTCTGTTCCTAGCGCCTCCCTCTGCCACAAGTGCGTGCGTGCGTGGGTTCCCTACCCGACAGGACACACTTTCCCCTGCACAGTTCGTTTGTACATCATGGACCCGCCAGACACACAAGCGCTGGGGTTGCCACCAGCAAGCTGGGCAGTGGCCAAGAGGCTGGAGCAGACTCCAAGAGGCCTTGTGCCTGAGCTCACACGAGGCACAACTGTGTAGGCAGTCTAGAAATAACTGGAGAGACTTCAAAGAGTGCATCTTGATTCCTGAATGAGCGGCCGAGGATGGAGCTGCTCAGAATGAAGTGCTAACCTTCATTCCTGTGACCTCATCTGCACCCCGCTGGCTGCTGAGACCCAGCACCATCTGAGTGGCGTGCCCTGTAGCCATTTTACGAGACTAGTGCGGGTCACTGTTACCATTGTAGAGAACCACAGTCCAGTGCTAATCGTCACAAGTGGACAAGCTGACTATGGCCCCAGTGCCTTGAGAGACCCAACCCCAGCGGCGTGCACGGGGTGAGGGGGTGGGGAGGTCAACCACTGGCTGGCCCGCTGCGCTGGCACTGGCGTGGCATCTGAAACCCCCAGCAAGAAAGCAGCCTTGAGAGTCCCTTCTTCGCTCCAAAGGGAACCTGTGATTTTATTGATGAGACTGTGAAGGAGGGGCTGGGAGTGTCCTCCTGGCAGAGGGCTGCTTACATTGAAGCAGCAACAACAGTTATTTGATTTCACAGGAAGTCTGTCTTCATGCAGGCATGCTGGTGGCTGGCCTGGAAGCTGGTCTAACTCCATCTTGTCTCCAATACAATTCTAGCCAAGTTTGGGGAATTCTTTAGAAACAACAGCCTCTCTTCTGGCTCTGGGACACTGTAGAGATGGGATGCTTGGGCTTGCCACAGCCGCCTGGAATCTGTAAGACTTCCTTCAAAGCAAGAGCCAAAAATGCCTCTGAAGATGGATTGGAAAGAAGGGGTCCTTGAGGCTGCCGGCAAGCTGCTCAGATAGCCAGTCCTGAAGCCCTTGGCTTTTACCTCTCATTTTTTTGGAGACTTTCATGTTATTTCTGTAAGTAGGATATGCCTTAAAAGTTCCAATGACATTCAGAACATGAGATACAAGAAACATGTCATGGCTTAAATCGTTTCAAGTTGGAGTTCTGTCAATCATGATAAATGATAGTGACATTTGCCACGTCTTCATAAAGAGTTCCCTGGAAGAAGCTGAGCATGGTGGCGCACGCCTTTAATCCCAGCACTCAGGAGGCAGAGGCAGGTGGACCTCTGTGAGTTTGAGGCCATCCAGAGCTACACGATGAGATTCTGTTTCAACAAACAAAAAACGAAGCACACGTAGGAGAAGCCACCCTATCTGCAAAGTTGTTCCCTCTAGTAAAATCTGTACTTAAAGACAGATTTTTGAAAATAAACAAATGTGAAGAATGTGAGATATTGTCTGGACCTCATCTGTTTCCTGGACATGTCTCCCCATTCCCGGAAATCCTGCCTTCTCCATGTTGCGTAAGCTTTGCTTGTGATGGTGTCTGTTCCCTTTGCTTTGACTTCCCGTCCCCTCCTCCCCTTCTCTGCTTTCTGTTTAAGATGAGATTCCAGCAGGTGGTTTAGCATGTGCAGTGATATCAGACCAGCCTAGCGCAACTGAACCCAGCTTGAATAACTCTGGGCAGGTTACTCACCTACCTCTAGCCTCATCTCTCTTTTTTGTTTGTCTGTTTTTGTTTTGTTTTGCAAGACAGGGCCTCACTGTGTAGCTCTGCTTGTTCCGGAACTCAGTAGACCAGGCTGGCCTCGAACTCACAGAGATCTGCTTGCCTCTGCAGCCGGGTTTCTGGGATCAAAGGCGTGCGCCACTGCACTGTCTCTAGCCTCATCTTTACAGCAAGGGAGGAGGAGGATGAACGCACAGGATTGACTGTCTTAAGACTGCATATCCAAAGCACTTATACAGCGCCCGGCGCAAAGTAAGTGCGCCACGTGGGAACTCTCATAACATTCGTTATCCCGCTATATTTATATTTATGGGCACGTGTGTATGCCTGCTTGAGTTTACATGCACTGCGTGTGCAGATGCCACAGAGGCAACGGCGCATCAGATGGTAGTGAGCACGTGATGTGGATGCTGTACCTGAACCGGAGTCCTCTGAAAGCAACTTGGCATTTAACTGCTGAGCAGACGCGTCATAATTTCCTTCCTCCTCCCCGCTCCCTTTCAGGCATTGAACCCGGGGCTTATCCAGCCAAGACAAGTGCCCCTCCACTCTTTTTGGATTTCACTGAAGTTGAACAGTCTGACTTTGAACTTGTCGGCGTCTGGCATTAGAGGCCAGCGCCACGTTTGCTTATATCTTACTTTTTTTTTTCTTTTTTGCCCGACTATGAGGAAATAATGATTAGGTATCCACTCTTGATTTGCTTTTACCCTGTAAGCCATCTTTACTGAGGTATAAAACACATTCAAAATTCACTGCTAG